GTAGCGGTTTTTGGCACGGGCGAACCGGGCAGCTGCCCGGGGCGGCATTTTTTCATGATACATGGGGGGCGGCACGAGCAGTTAAAAAAAATAATAATAATCCTCTGCGCCGCCGACGCGAAGCGGTTTTCTATTATCTATCATTTCACTGTGTGGGGAATTGGCAAATTGGCGCCCCTGCTTGCTGAGAAGGTGCCGTGCACAGAAGCTGTGTGTTTTTGTTAAATGTGAGCCAAAATCATCACAATTAAAAGAAAAGTGTGAAAAAAAAGAAAAGTAAAAAGTGTGCATTGAATTGATTTAATACACGAGTTTCACAATTTGAGTTGAATTACTGAAATAAATGAACTTTTCCACGACATTCTAATTCATTGAGATGCACCTGTATAAAGAATATAAGATTGCACATTTCTTATATAACAAATATGTCACAGGAAAGTTTTGACTAATTTCTGGCGCTGTCTAGTACAGAAACCTGACACGATTAATAGAAAAGCAGCTTCAAAATCATCGAAGTTATACAGTATGACTCGTCTAAATAGACCAATGGCCATCAATGAGATGTAAAGAAACCTTTGTATATATACAGAGCATACTGTTTCTGTTCATCTGTGCAGGGGATGGCTATTGCTGGTGCGATCTATAGCACACCGTTCAGGTTTTCAGCATCTGGTTGCAACAGATGAACTTGCTCTACTTATTTCAACAGGGTCAGATATGAAGCACTATCGCCCTCCTGCGTGACAGCTGCCTCAAGCTGCACCAACTTTAAAATAAAATGTTTCCTATTTTTTCTTAATTAAAATGAAATGAGTGTTGGAGTTATGTAGGCTATACAAATTAACATGTAAATAGACAAAATGTACACAAAATTCAAACTGACGTCCATGTTTAAATTAGTATTACAAACCACTTTCCTTACAACAGCACTTTCTGTTAGGGATAAGTAGTGTATTTCAACCTTTATTTTGTAGCAGATAAATGAAGTAAGATCGCACATAAAACAGACGCTAAAGCAAACAGTTTTACTCAATATTTTCACACTTACTGCACAAAATAACTTTTTCTTTTTCTTTTGTTTTCTTCACATATGGCCCGGACACCGTTGTCTCCTTGTTAAACAAGTTTGACTAGCTTTTTATTACACGTTAAAATTTGGGCAAAATTGCTTAGTGTGGAAATATTACTTTTAACGTCATTATAGACATAAATAATTGTCTATGGAAAAGCATACTCTGAACAGTTACGCGTGCAAAATCCCCCCTCTGCTGGTGATACTTTGAAACTGCTGCGGGGTTAGGTTAAATGAGACAATGCACGTTAGAAAACATTCCTTAAAGGGATACTTCACCCAAAAATTCTGGCATTAATTACTCACCCTCGTGTCGTTCCAAACCCGTAAGACCTTCGTTCATCTTCAAAACACAAATTAAGATATTTTTGATGAAATCCGAGAGCTTTCTGACCCTGCATAGACAGCAATGCAACTGACACGTTCAAGGCCCAGAAAGGTAGTAAGAACATTGTTAACCTAGTCCATGTGACATCAGTGGTTCAACCGTAATTTTATGAAGCTACAAGAATACATTTTGTGCACAAAGAAAACAAAAATAACGACTTCAACAATTATTCTCTTCCATGTCAGATTCACGAGAGTACCACGATGTTTCTGGGCCTTGAACCTGTCAGTTTCCTTACTGTCTATGCATGGATGGTTTAAACGTTTTTTTTTTTTTGTTTGTTTTTTTACAGAATTATTCCGGAAACTTCAGCAGCCAGTTATATTTTGTAGAAACATCAGGATTTTTTATATATATATATATATATATATTGCATTCTATATATATATTTGCATCTTTGCATGATTTAAGTGATTTTAAAATGCATAGACACATGAAGTATACGATAAAATCTAGGTGAGTTCACTTAGCCACCAAAATGTTAATTTTTGTCACAGTACAAATACACCAATATTTGGTATATTTAGTGTGTTTCATCTTAAATATGAATATTTTCCTTTTTGTTTCCATTGTTGTGCATGCAACCGATGACTATTGGTTTTGAAATAGTAATTACATCACTTGCAGCTTCCCTAGAGGCTGTGCTTTGAGGTCTCACCACAAACTATCAAATGCCCTGGACTGCCTAATTCTGGTGCTCCAATAAATGTTTGATCCATGAACCACTAAGAGGCTGGCTGTGTACCGCAAATAAATCAGAACCATCTGCTGAAATGTGATGGGGATTTTGTGGAGAAACAGAAGTTCTGTTCATGCCAATCCGCAAATCAGGCTGACCCATGCACAACCCACAAACGTTTATTTTCCTTTTTTCTTCCTTTTATTCTTCCTTTTTTTAAATGTATTTAAAGCACATGTAACTGATTTAAATAGACTACTGAAGCAAATCACTGAGTCCCGTATTTATGATTGTTTATGGCATAGCTTGACGTAGTAGCTTTGAATCCATTTCAGTAATTCAGGTGGTCAATACAACGTATTGTATTACAATATAACAAGTATATTTCTATTACACATTTCACTGTAAAATCGACAACAGGCCTAAAATAATGGGTTGCGGCCTCGTTGGTGTGAAATGAAAAATAGTTTACTGTCTCTTTAAGACTGCGCTATTGTCATTGGTGAACGACCATCTGTATCGTGTGCGCTTGTGCAGGTTTATTCTATTCCAGGGACGAGTGTTATTATAAGGCCTAGAATTTAATGCACCTGCATTGAGCGAAATACTACTTATTGTACTGAATTATATATTGTAACACATGCTCATTTGACGTGTTACTGGCAAATAACACAATCCGGATAAAAATGGCTGAATTACCGATGGGGAAAGGGGTCTCCGCAGGAAAGATAGCAAGCAATGTACAGAAAAAAATTACCAGGGCTCAGGAAAAGGTAAGGCACTTTAATAATCCAATATACATCAATTACGTTATCTCTCTCAAAACTGATTTCAGTGTTATCTACCTTACATCTCAATAAAACAGTGTCGCGTCTTCTATCGTGATGTATAAAAACGCGGAACGTATCAGAGCCGAAGCTCATCCACATACAGACTAGCAAATACTAAAACACATGCATTTGCCTCTCCTATATTTGCAGATGTTTTAAGAAAGTTATGGATAAGACCATTTTGAAGACGCAAGCTCGCTGTTTATTTCATTGCAGTGGGGCTGCTATGGAAACAAGTAGAAAGCTGCACCTGTAACACTAGATTTGTGCGTTCGCTTTAAAACCACGACGATCGGCTCTCTGCTTGAATCAACCCATTTATTGCCTTTGAGCCATTGCATTAACCTGTACTTTTCCAGTAGATGAGCGCGGCGGCGATGTCCGGATTCGTAAACGGATATTTTTTGAATGAATCGGTTCAAAAAACAAGTCCAAACGATTCGTTCACGAATCTGATCACGAGTCATCGGCTCACTCATTCATTAACCCGAGAACCGCCACTATCATGCATGTCCGATGTGTCACACGAGAACTGTGTGATGTACGTGATTTTAGTATTTTAATACGTTTAGAATCGAGTTGAAAAGTATATAGGTAGAATAGCTTAGTATAAGTTGAAGTTTTTTAGTAAAGTTTAGTAATGGCTACTACAAACTAAACTGAATAATTACAATAAACTAAAGCAATTATTAATGTAATAAACAGAAATATGAGCGTGCATATTGGAATATTTTAGAACATCACGTTGGAATGGCAGGAGCCACATGATGACGCAATTACGTTGTTTTAACCGGTTCTTCGAACGAATTGTTCTAAAGAACCGATTCGCGGAAATGAGTCAGACTTCCCTTCACCACAGTAAATGAGCAGCTGCATCGCTCACTGCTGCCCATCATCCTTCATCTCTTTTAATTGCTGCAGCCTGACATTTGACAACTTTATGTACAATTCACCAACAGCTTTTTTTAGACTCTTCAAACTAAAAAGTAAATTGTGGTCATAAATGTTACCAGTGGGATTAAATGGGACCATCTGGCTTTTCTGACTATTCAGTCATTCTTGAGAAGTGGGACAAAACAGGGTGCAAAATTGAAAAAATAAAACCTTGTATTCAGACAAATGATACTACATTTATGTATCTTATATGTACTAAGCTACTGAGCTATGCTAGAACGATGTTTGGGTTCTTCACACCAGCTGTCACTGAATAAGGCTATGGAAATGAGAGATTTCATGGTTTTTGAGCAATAGATACGGCATTGACAATTTATCAATAATATTTGTACAGCATTTAATAAATATAGTCCCACTTAGATTGTCTCTGAGTGAGTGAAGTGAGTGAAGTGACATGTGGCCAAGTATGGTGTCCCATACTCGGAATTAGTGCTCTGCATTTATCCCATCCAAAGTGCACACACACACAGCAGTGAACACACACACGCCGTGAACACACACCCGGAGCAGTGGGCAGCCATTTATGCTGCGGCGCCCGGGGAGCAGTTGGGGGTTCGGTGCCTTGCTCAAGGGCACCTCAGTTGTGGTATTGAAGGTGGGAGAGAGCGCTGTACATTCACTCCCCCCACCTACAATCCCTGCCGGTACGAGACTCGAACCCGCAACCTTTGCTAATGGTGGCCTAATGGTTTCTCTAACCATTAGGCCACGACTTCCCCTATGGTCATCTGTGCAGCTAGAGGAGCTTGACTTGAATCTGGTGCTGTTGTTTTCTAAGGAGCAGCAGTCTTTTATGTTGTAGACACACATTTACAGGATAATGCAGATATCCAGGTTTAACCTATGGCGTTCTCATCGATGCAAGGATGCTCTCTCTGTATAAAAGTTCTGGTTTGTCATTGCACATTGAAAAACAACACTTTCTTGTTCATTTAATATTTCAGTAACATGAAGTACACAACTACCAAAACTGGAAATGTAACAAGCCACTATAATTGTTTTTTTTAAATATATAAGTAATGTGGTCAATAATGCAACCATCTTCTCTCAGGTTCTTCAAAAGCTTGGCAAGGCAGACGAGACTAAAGATCTGGCATTTGAAGAGGGTGTGATCAACTTCAACAAACAGCTGGTAAGTTTTTTTGTTTTTTTTTCGAACTCATTATTTTTTCAAATGTTCATCTGAAACAGTGTAAGCATCGGGAATCTGTTCTGGTTTTATCCTCTTGGTCTATGACTCTCTGTTTCAATTTTGTGTCATGTGCTCACATAGGTTGAGGGTACCAAACTGCAGAAAGACCTTCGGGCCTATTTGGCTGCTGTGAAAGGTGAGATTATCGATTGACAAATTTACACACCTAAATGCAGCATGAATTAAATATGTTGTTTTCTTAGCCTTGCTGATCTCTTTCTCGTGGTTTCCCCCAGCCATGCATGAGTCTTCTAAACATCTGTACGAGTGCCTGGATGACATGTATGAGTCAGACTGGTATGGCAGAAAGGATGTGGACTCTCTCTTTGAGGTTATTTTATACTTAAGTCAATGTCAGTAAAATGTGTTTTAGACTCTCACAGTAATTCAAGAGTAAATTGAGCCCCCTTTTTCATATGAGAAAATGTGTTGTTTTTGTCTGAATTTATAAAGTATACATTCAGACAAAAATCTTTTTCTCCAATATCATTTACAGCTGACTAGCAAGTAGCAGATCTTTGCCAAATAACTATTTGTGTCTCGCCTCAGCTTTGTATTTCAAAAGGAAATAATTTGAACACAGGACAGAAACTTGCACTCGCCAAGCAATTTCATAGTTTTTTTTTAAGTAAAGAGTAAACCAGATGATCAAGAATGACATAAAATTCCTTTAGCACTTTAATTGAGGGCAGATATGGCACAAGGTATCCCCTACAGCTTTTCTCCTTTCCATTTTATTGTTTTTAATTCACACCCATCTGTCATTTCACCATGCTTTTATTACATATTACACTACCGTTAAAAGTTTGGGATTGGTAAGATTTTTTTAATGTTTTGAAAGAAGTCTCTTATGCTCGTCAAGGCTGCATGTAAATGATTAAAAATACAGAAAACAATAATATTGTGAAATATTATTACAATAAAAAAAAAACTGAACTGGACTATTTTCTCTTTAAATATATATTAAAATGTAATTTATTTCTGTGAAGGCAAGGCTTAATTTTAGCAGCCATTACTCCAGACTTAAGTGATTCAGGTGATTAGAAATCATTATAATATGCTAATTTGCTGCTCAAGAAACATTTCTTGTTATCAATGTTAAAAACAGTTTTACTGCTTAAAAGTTTTGTGGAAATAGTGATACATTTATTTTCAGGGTTCTTTACTCTCACTTTTGATCAATTTAATGTGTCCTAGCTGAATAAAAGTATTCATTTCCTTTTCCTTTTTTTTTTTTTTTTTTAAATCTTACTGACCCCAAGCATTTGAACAGTAGTGTATGTGTGTCCATTCTACGTGTCCACCATTTTTACTTGATTTCTGCTTTCTTTGAAAGGAATGTTAGGAGTGAGGAAACAGATGGGAGGTAATGCAAGGGGTTTTGATTATAATTTAGTCTTTGACTCACTGTTTATTCTCATAGCTAGTTTATAAACATGTAAATGCTATATGGTTTTTCAGCAGTAACCACAAGAAAGTATTATTTAACCACACAAGTAGTGACACTAGAATTAGCCTACATAGTTTTACAACTCTAAGGATCCAGCTGCTCTGTAGTTGTCCCTATAGATACAGTACATGTCTCTGTGAATGTGTGTGGATGTGTATTTCATGTATTTAAGATGGTTTTGCACCATCCTGATTTGTTGTATCTATTGTTGTGTGTGTATAACAGGATTCAGACATCCTTTGGACAGACTTCCATCAGAAACTTGTGGATCATGCGCTTATATCCATGGACACTTACCTGGGCCAGTTTCCTGACATCAAAGTACTAAGATCCCATGACGATGCTGTAGTTTAGCATAACATGCTATGATTTTCTGTTTAATGTCTGTATAATTCTTTCCAGGTCCGTATTGCAAAGCGTGACAGGAAGCTGGTGGACTATGACAGTGCACGACACAACTATGCTGCGGTAAACAAAGGCAAGAAAAAGGAGGGGATCAAGATCACCAAGGTACAGCCCTTAGTTTTGATGTTGTTTTAATGTTTCTACAGTCAGTTCATATCGAGGAAGATTTATGTTTCATGTATTTTTTATTTATTTATTTTCCTCTATGTAGCCAGCTTCCCTGCTGGAGAGGGCCACCCCAGGCTGGGCACAGGGGATCCTGTCTGCCCATAACGTGGCTCAAACCAACCTCACCAGGAGTCAGGTGACACACTATAACTTAAAGCAGCACTATGTAACTTTTTCTGTGTTCAAAATTTGCAAAATGTATATAATGAGCGAGTACATCATCGATAGTTCACCAGAATTCTGTCATCATTAATATACCCTCGAGTTGTTCCAAACCCGTGAGTTTCGTCTCGTGGGTGATTGAGATTATTGAACTCCATGTCATATGATAATGTCATTTTATGTGTTTATAGGCAGAGGAAGAGTTGGAGAGGGCGCAGAAAGTGTTTGAGGAGATTAATATAGATTTGCAAGAGGAACTGCCATCTCTGTGGAACAGGTCTGGATTTATTTACTGTCTTACTTTCACTGATCTTCTCTGTGTTTACTCTCACAGATGTTTTTTTTTATATAAACAAGCAAGTAAATAACAGACATTTGACTGCTAGCTTACTCTGGCAAAAAAAATTGGCTATATATACTTAGACAGGAAGAACTTGACTCTGACTGTCATGTAAAACAACCTGTAACCGTTCATTTTCTTTATGTGAAATGTATGGGCGGATAAATGTAAAATCAACAATAATAATAGACTGGTGTTTAACAATGCAGTAATACAATCAAATTATTGCACAACAGTCTCTGTTTTACAGACAACATCAAAGACATTAGTGGAAAATGCATCTGTTTTTAAATAATAAATATGCAGTTTAATTGCTAAGAGCAGGTGCCTCAAACAAAAGTCTATTTCACAGATTCATTGCCATGAGCCTCTGTATTTGCCACTTTGTCAAATACAGTACCTGTACACCCTGATTCACAGAAATGATGTAGAAGCCTGAGAATCTGATTCATGACTCTTGCCATTTTTGTGTGCAATATGCACCAGATGGGTCATAAATGGTCCATGGGTGTACCATCTTAGACTGAGATCTGTTGTCATCTTATGGAGGGCTAAGATTGTGTTTGCTCTCTTCCAGTCGTGTTGGCTTTTATGTGAATACATTCCAGAGTATGGCTGGTCTGGAGGAGAAGTTTCACAGAGAAATGGGAAAAGTAAGGACTCCAGCACAACACCATCAACTGACAGAACTTTATGGTTATGTTTTGTTATATAAGTTGTAATTTAATTAGAAGTAAATATTCTGCTGAATGTATGTGTATATGCAATATATATATATATATATATATATATATATATATATATGACAAAAATTGTAGTTAGTAACGTAATCCATTACAGTACACATTTTAGGTAATAGAATCAGACTATTTTTTTATTACTTTTGACCTAACTTGTTTATCACATTGATTTGAATAGGATAATCTTGTACCATAGTGATATAAAAATACAAAGAGTAATAAAATATATTCAATTTGTTGTAATTAACAACATAAAATGCATTAAACTTTACATTATGTCAAGGTTTCCCAAACTGGGGTTTGTAAAGGGACTGTAGGGGGTTCGTGAGTTTAATGAAAAGCTAATAATTAATACAATTCTAAAAATTTTAAATTAAAATAAATTATTTTTTAAATAAAATCAATCAAAATAAAACACTTACTAAAAAAATAATGAAATATTTTATTTGTTTACCTGCATGTCATGTGACCATTAGCCAAGCTCAGAGAATGGTGAATATGTAAATGTGATACTTAATTATTAAAATATTTATTTTAAAATCTCAGTGGTACTGCAAGATGAAAGATTTTCAAAAGTCTGGGAATCCTTGCATTACATGTAAATAAGAAATAATGTGAATTTGTACATTTGAATGTGTTTGAAAGACAGAATTGCATGGTTAACCTACTGAGTAAATCAGATAATCACCTGACTAATGACTGGTCTTTGTGTGAATGTTCACAAAACTGGAAGACTTTCTGAATGTATATAAGCAGTAGGCTATTTTAGAAAGGAACATTTAAAAGATGAAAAAGAAGAATTATGGAGAATCAATAAATTCTGAACAATTTATTGCTATTGTGTGAATAATATGTAATCATGCAATCAATAAAAAAGTAACTGTAGTCTGATTACAAGTATTTTAAAATGTATTTTAATCTAATAACAAGTACTTAATTTTTGAAATCTGATTACGTAATGCAGATTACATGTAATCAGTTACTACCCAGCTCTCTTTCTGTAACCTTTCTCTTACAGATTAATCAGAATCTGAATGATACGCTGGAGAAATTAGAAAATCAAGATGTGTCCAGGTTAGTCAAATTTATAAGCAGCATACATACATAGTGCTTCATTTATAAGCACTGAATTGTATTAATTGTACGATGCTGGTTCATTTTGATCCATTCTGCCTCAAAATGGTGTCTAAATTGTGCATATGGCAATAGTTAGTATTGGTATAATTACATACAGTTTATACAATTAAATAAATGAACAAACCCCAACACCACTCTCACAGAAAAACAGGTAGCCAAGGGGTGAGGACATCAACAGCCCAGAAGAGGTAACCGCGGTAGCCCTACAGTGCTGTGTGTGCATGTGTCTCTGCATTCTGTACTAAAGCTTTTTGCGTGCCCTCAAGTGCTGCCCAACTAGACAATGCTTTGTCTTGTGCGGTCCGTCTGCAGCACTGAAACTGTAGTTGCTATACAGTAATAATTTCCAGCAATAGTTTTGCATTCTGAAATTGTGTGTTTTAGATGATGCCTTCACAGTGCGTTTGAGTTCACTGCATGATCAGAAAGATTTTGCACAGGAAGTAACTGCGTCTGCATGAATAACTGTTAAGTTTGATATTGTCCTACTAGTTACGGTATGTCAGTTCTGGCTTGAAAGTATCCTAGATAGGCTTTTGGTCACACTGGTCATCTAAGACTAAGGCTTGCAGTGTGAAGTATTGGTGCTTGGGTTGAGCCTAATCAAAGCATGACACAGAGGGGCTCTTCATAGCCATGGTACTGTATATCATCATCTGTACTTTGTACTCCAGTGACAGAACACAAGATGCCAATCACACGTTGAGCCCAGGAGGACCGCCAGCCATTCCCAAATCTCCATCCAAGGTATGCATTTAGAAATCATCATGTATTTGCCATGGACAATAACACAGCCCTGCGTCTTGAGAAAAAAAAAGCTGAGCAAAAATTAGTAATTGCCATGATTTCTCAATATTGCAGTGATTTCTCTGAAATATGAAACCCCAGTTCATATTTATGTGTGTTTCCAGTTAAAGCCTGCGGTTCCTCCACCTCCTAAAGTTACTCCATCAAAGGATATGAAGCAGGAGAACATTATCAATCTGTTTGGTGAGGCTGCCACTCCAAACATCAGTGTCACTTCGCCAACACAGGTCAGCAGTACTTTCTTCTCCTGTATCCCTCGTCTTCAGGAATGAAGATGCTACTTATAAATACGCCAGCGTTGGCTAAAATGCACAGTTTGAAAACTGACTCCCTGCCACTTCACAAGTTAGAATTTGAATAGCAGGATGTTGTATCTAAGTTGGAATGAGGGGGTTACTGAATTAAAATTCAATAAATGTTATTGGTATGAAGAAAATGGGCAACAGCAGGCTACTTATCAGGTGTTCTTTTAAAAGTTTCCATCTTTTAAGCCCGCTTGTTGTTTGGCTCCACTTTGAAGACTTTAGGGTAAGTTGTAAAATTGAAAGTTAATTTATTAAATATGAATTACATATCTATGCATGGAATAGAAATGTTGCATGTAATAATTATTGCAGGTAGTAATTAATACTGAAAAGTAAAAACAACATTCTTAATTCAATTCTGAATGACAACCACAAAAATGTTTTGTGTGAGATACATTTTTACATTACATCAGTAATCATCAATAATATTTTAAGCAGTACTTAGAAAGTTGTTACCCTAGCAGTATGCTAGTGTGAAACTATTGTAATCAACTGTTAAGGTGCGGTCACATATACTGTTGTTCTGCAAATTTTCATGGGTAAAATCCAGTCATATCAATAGGAATCCACGTAATCTGGAATTTTGAAGATTTCCCCACTCAGATTTAGCAACGGGCTTAAGTCAGTAAAACGAATTCCCTGCACATTGACCAACAGAAATCTTCTCAGTTTAAAAGTTACAATGGAGCTTTTTTCCTGCAAAATTTCACTGGAATTTCGCTAATGTGATCAAACCTTTAGTAAAGATGCTCCATGTGAGGAGCTCTGTTTGTGTGCTGTAATCTTTCTGCCCACGACAAGTAAAATCAGTCACTTGATGATGTGAAATGCTCACTGGAGTTATAAAACCAAAAATGAAAAAAGTATATTTTCTTCTTTTTGTCAGTATGATGCTCCAGCCACTGCTAATCTGCTGGATATGGATCTGGACTCACTTCAGGCTGCCACCACACCAGCTGCACAGGTCTGTTAGAATTAGAGGAACTAAGAATTTAAAAGTTTTAATTAAACTTTTATTCAATTTTGCTTATACCAGTGTTGTAGTACTTGAGTCCAGGCAAGCATAGACTCAAGCCCGAGTCCAAGACCATATTGAGTATTGAATATATTGAGTATATTGAGTCTATGCCGTGTCCAAATGCTCCTGAGAATTTGGTCAGAGATTCAGCCTTGAGATGGACTTGAGTCCGAGTTTGGTCTTGTCCAGACTTGAGGACTACAACACTTGAATGTTTAATTTATGCATTATAACATATTCAAAATATATTCATGCAATGGAACATCAGTGTAAATGCCTTTTAATCAATTTGACAAATCTGTTTTGTCCAGTTATTCATTTTGCTTTGTTTTTGTGCATTTTGACAGACTTGGGATTCATGGGAGGTGAGTGTACTTTTATGTTTGCTCAAAGTTGCAATGTATATCAGCATACATAACCTTTCCTTTTACACTACACTACACAACCTTTCCTACACTATTTTGAATAATTTAGCTAATATCATTCAATATATTTAATGGTTAGGGAACTCATTCTGCCCTTGTCAAACAGTTGCAAAAAAGCTATTCCATTAAATTTCTTTTCACTGCAAAGCTTTCCTGCATAAAGATTGTAAATGTCTGTCTGTCCTGCTTTAGTAACTGTCCACGATATTTATGTTGCACGTCCCACGTCATTCCGTAGAGGCTAGATGACCTCCAGTATTGTGTTCAGCTGCAGAAATGCTCATCTGTGTTTCACACTCTCTCTGGCTTCTCATTCTTTCTCCACTCTGAATGATCCCTGGTCATGCTTTTCTCCGGCTCTCACATGCCCCCTTCCCCACCTTTCCGCCATACCTACCCACCTCCCTGGCACATGTAGCAATCACAGAATGAAGCTGAGGTGCCTCAGACATGGGACGATGATGATACCCAGCCTGTGCACTCTGGCTGGGGTGATGATGGTACCCAGGCTACCTGGGATGATGACGGTAGCCAACCTGTGCGTGCTCCGGCCGCATTCCCCAGCTGGGATGATGATGGCTCTCAGCCTGTGCAGGGGAATGTCAATGATTCTACCCAACAGGCCCAGGGGTGTGACGATGATGGGGCTCAGGTACAAATCTCATAGAGCAAGCTGACAGGAGCTGAGCTGTGCTATATTGAGGTCGTGCTCCTGTAGGAACCTCTGGATGGGAGCGAAAAGATGCTTAGCATGGCAATTGGGAGAATGCTGGTAGAAGTGCTAGTAGCAGTAGTTGTAGAAGTAGTAACAGCAACAGCTGGGCTTGCTATGTTATGAGGATAGCTGTGTAATTTGCATCTTTTGTTCTCTCTTTCAATTCTTGGCTCTCTCTTGGTATTTCTACCTTTGATTCCTCAATCTGTATTGGCTCTCCTTTATCTCCCGGTCTTTCCCTTTTGCAGGCCACAGAAAAGGCAGCTGTTACAGAAGAGGCGGTAGCTGAAACTGAAGTAAGTGATGGCATAGCATATGATCCAAAAGTGAAAATCTGATAATCAAACCCAAAGCAAGAGCCTAAAGGACATACAGGAAGTCTATAGGTGACTCAAACCTTGCATCAACATATACTACTGTTAAAAAAAATATATTTTTTAAAGAAATATAATTTTGTTCAGCAAAGACGCATTAAGCTGATCAAAAGTGACAGTTAAGACACTGAATATTGTAAACGCTTTCTTTTTCTGATACTGTTCTATCGAAGTTTCTGTTAATCAAAGAATCGAATTTGGAAAAGCAAATCTATCACAGCTTTCAACAATGATAATAATAAGACATGTTTCTTGAACAGCAGATCAGTATAATAGAATGATTTCTGAAGGATCGTGATCATCATTTCTGAAGACTGGAGCTGAAAATTCTTCTTTGTCATCACAGAAATAAATATTAAAATAGAAAACAGTTATTTTAAATTGTAATAATATTTCACAATAGTACTGTTTTTACTGTGTTTTTGATCAAATAAATGCAGTCTTGGGGACCCTTGTTTCAAAAATATAAAAAAATCTTTTGAAAGGCAGTGTATGCTGAAAATCAGGTGATTATCATTCCCTCTGGTGGACTGAAGGAGCAGCTGCAGACTCCCTCATCAGCCTTTAAGATTTGAAAGGGTAGCATTAGCTTGTCAGGCACTAAGTGGAGAACCTTCAATGTTTTGATGCTAATTATTCATATAATACATTAAAACGTATAACGTTTATGTCTGTTGTTGTATTTACATTTATTGTTTAATCCAGACTGCACAGGAATGCACTGAGAGCACAGAGAGTGTAGAGATGCCAGAATCCTTCCTATTTAAAGTAAGTGAAAAATGATGGTTTAATTTAACTATCATTGGTCTTTTAATCAGAATTTGAAGCAGAAGAAGTGAGACATGTATTTGTGTGAATATAGGTGAAAACAGTGCATGACTACAATGCTACTGACTCCGATGAGTTAGAGTTGAAGGCAGGAGATGTGGTGCTGGTAGTGAGCTATGGAAACCCAGAAGAGCAGGTTAGTCGATAGTCGGTTGTTTCGACCAGTTCTTACCCAAGAGATCTTGGTGTTAGGATCACCTAACTGAGTTTCTGTGCTTACAGGATGAAGGGTGGCTGATGGGAGTCAGAGAGTCCGACTGGAGTCAGAATAAAGATCTTGGGAAAAAAGGAGTCTTTCCTGAAAACTTCACCCAGAGGATGTGAGAGCCTGTGATCCGCTTGATCTGTTGTTAACCCTTCTATATAACTCCTTATTGCTTCCCTTAATAAAGCAGACAAGAAACACTGTACTAGACCAACACATGCACAGCCACAGGCAATCTGCTGGTTATGTTTGTGAAAGTTGTTGACAGGTCAGTATTTGCATTGTTTTGGGTGTCATCACTGTGACTCATATTTGTCATGGTGCAAGTATAAGAAGATTGGATCAACCTTTGACAAAATAAATGATATTCTGTTAACTATTAACATACCCAGAGTAAGTCCTTGCTGTAAATGTTTTTAGACTAGCTACTCTTAACCAAGTCCCATTTTGTGTGGAAATGTTTTAAAGTCATATCCCAAATGAGCTCACGAGTCTCTATAGTCTAATAGTGAGCACTACTTGAGCTGCATGATCTATATAGTTATGTCACAGTCGGAAGCAAACAGTATTTATTTTTAAAAAAGTGAATAATATTCCTCTCTCAATGCTGGAATACACTACACGACTTTTAAAATCTGAACAGATTTTAAAACACTAGGCATTATACACTTGCAGACTTTGTGAATGGTTACAGAGGAAAAACTGGGCATCAAACACTGAATGACTGAGAATCACACACTGTCAGACTTTCAATTTGTTCCAAAGGCAACAAACTCATTGTTTCTAGAAGATGCATGACAAATTAAGTATGTGCCCATTATACTCTATTTGATTTTCTGTAAAATCTGTCAACTCATACTACCCGAAATCTGCAGACTGGCTCTGACTTTCAGCAGCTAGTGCCGACTCCTCCAAATCGGGGCAAGAATCTGTACAACAGTTGTGTAGAGTATTCCAGCCTTCAGTTACATTATCCTACAGTTTAACAGCTGAGCGCTCCTTCATGCAAATGGAGTTTGACTGCTCAGAGTCAAACATCTACCAGCACCATTTCTGCATGTTTAAATCAAGAACAAACTAAAAAGTTCAAAATAAAACCGACTAATATCGTTAAAGGAGTATTTTATGCTTCTCATTTACAAACAAAAAACATATGCACTCGTTCCATATGCAGTTATTGTTGACACTAATGAGGCTGACATATTTAACCCCAGACTCTTGCTCAGGTTGTATTTATATGAACCTGTGTGCAGTCTTTCACCCTTAGCTTTACACAGTATTACTGTCTACCAATTAGTTTTCTTTCTTTTTGATGAAGCCATTTCAGATTTTAATATGTAATTAATATTGTAATTCACTGTGTAAATGGAGTCATGTACACGTACTTGTCTCGGTCATTGCAACTGAGCGGCGCACTGTGCTAAGCCACTAGCCCTGTATCCCTACGGTTGTGTGTTCGAATCCAGGGTGGCTATTTTGGGGAAGTCGTGGCCTAATGGTTAGAGAGTCGGACTCGTAACCCAAAGGTTGCGGGTTCGAGTCTCGTACCAGCAGGGAGTAGGTGGGGGGAGTGAATGTACAGCGCTCTCTCCCACCTTCAATACCACAACTGAGGTGCCCTTGAGCAAGGCACCGAACCCCCAACTGCTCCCCGGGTGCCGCAGCATAAATGGCTGCCCACTGCTCCGGGTGTGTGTTCACGGTGTGTGTGTGTTCACTGCTGTGTGTGTGTGCACTTTGGATGGGATAAATGCAGAGCACTAATTCCGAGTATGGGTCACCATACTTGGCCACATGTCACTTCACTTCATTAAGTAAAATACAGTTTTACTCAGTGAAGGAGAATTTCTGTCCTTCTTAATTAACATGAAATGCAATAATCTCTGCACAGATTTTTATTTCTTTATGAACTGTATTCATAGACATGTCGGAAATATTGGTTATTGGCATTTTGTGATTTGAAAGTGGATATTAATGCTCGCTTGTGTGAGTTTTAATCCAGTACAACATTCAAAAGTGACTCAGAATATGCATAATACGAATTCAGTCCTCTTACACTGTAATTATAGTTTTATTTTTGTACATTGTGAGACAAATGAGAGTTAAAATGATTCTATCTATGTGCCATGAACACTGGCTTTTAACTGGGGTCTTTCTCAGTGATGTATACTCTGGTCTTTTCATGTTTGGATCAAAATGTACCATCATAGCAGCAAGAGCAAAGCAGGTTTAGTGAGGATATGAGCTTTTATAAGGACTGAACTCACACTGATATTGATTCTCCAGTCATCTGTTGTGCTGAATGAGGACTTCACTTGCTTTTTGTTTGGTTTGCTTGCTACCCCTGATCTCTCGCTAACTAGACGTGTCATGTGACCCAAGCTTGGAGGGAGTTCTTGCCACGCTTCACCAGTTTTGAAGCAAGTGTGTGTGTTTGCGTGCTTGGTTTTTGTATCCTGTACTGAGAAATCAATGTGATCTGTATAGAGACTGATCACTGAGTTATTTAAGCTGCCAATGCATCTTTAATGACCTCTCGCGCAAGCTCTTAATTAAATCGAAAGTCCTCATGGGTGGACAAACGCTTCCTCTTCATGTATTTGAGCGCAGTTACGATATTTGCTAGTGTTGTTGTGTTGTTGCATTTGTAGCCGTGATCATTGTGTAGTTTTGTTGAGTTTTGTGACTAATAATAAAACTTCTCTGAGCATATCTATACCTGTAATTAGTGTGAATGTGAAAGGGGCATGCTTAAATCCATGAGCAGTGTGTCTGTGTGTACTGACTTGATGTTTTCTTGCTGAGGTGGCCTGGGAAACCAAGGCCACTTTACGCTACTATAAGCCATGAGTGTAGTCATTCTACAGTCCTGTATCCTGCTGACTCACCAATGCTAATAAAGTCCTGTCATATTTCATCTTTTGGGTCCACAAATTGTCCACATTCAAGTACACTATGCTGCAAAAAATATATATTTTATTTTGTTTCAGTAAACTGAATTTAAAAATGTTTTCTGAATGTGCAACTTAACATTTGAAACTTACTTTACACTATACATGCATAAAATCTTACATACATGTACATAAAATCGAGTATTACAGAAATAATGTACTTTTAAAGAATAAATTCAATTGCAAACTGAATGTAATTGCATTAATTGTGATTGTGTTAATTTAATTAAATTGATTGTGTTATATATTAAATACTTTTATAGGTCATTGTCTTTGAAATATGGTTAAAGTGTACTGCCGAAATTAAAATATACAGTACTTAATGTCATTTCTACTGAACATTTTGTCATATATAAATACAAAAATATTTGTAATTACCCATATGTAATGAAGTTGCAATTCAGTAAATTTAAAATATATTAATTTTAAATGTAATATTGTATTACACATTACAGTTAAAATTATGATTCTTTACATGTGCTTTAGTATGTTAGTCAACACATTACAATAAGTGTACGTCTTTGACAAAAGATAATTAACAGGTCCAAAAGTTTGACACTTCAAGTACACTTAAGTGGCATTTTATTTCATACCATATTAGCACAGATTTTTTTAAAGAGTGCGTTTAAGATTTGAAGTACACTGCAATTGCACATTTAATACAATTAAGCACACTTCTCTTTCAAAAGGGTGAGTTTAACAGTAGACTTAAAGTGGCAATCAAAATCACTGATTTCTCCACAAGTCATATCAGCTTCCCAAGCAAAGCTGTTGCAATAATCCATTGTTATTTAAAGTCAGTGGGAAGATGATTAAAAGGAGTAATGTTGATGAAAAAACTGCATGTTGCGTAACTGAGTCAAAGGCCATCGTATGAGGAGGAAACAGAGAGAGAGAGAGAGAGAGAGAAAGATTTTAGCTAACACTGTAAAAAGAGTGACAGCCCAAATAGTATTTTAAGGAAAGACAAAGAAGAAGGAAAGAAAAAGGAGCATAAAATGGTAAAGACTTATAGATGTAAACATGTAACGAGAAAACTTTGGACCCAGAAAGGCCTGGAAGAAGAGCCTATATGTGAACTGCAGTCCTTCGTTGTTGCTGAATATTGCCTTTGCACTCCAAGTAAGTATTTATTTATTTATATTTCTCTTTTACAAGTTAATGAAGTCATATGACACAGTAGAATACAATACTTTAACTCTTTTTGTTACTTAAGAATATACTTTCATATTTTACAAATGCTGAAATCTTAAAGTCATAATGAAGTACATAAATCTAAAGTTCTCAGATTAAACATTGAACAGAAAAAGTAAAAGTCTGTTTTGTTCTCTGTCTCCATGCAGCATGTATTGGTACTGTACTCTTTGTGTGCACTGGTTGTGGATACACATTCAGGATGTAGACAGAGAGAACAGTGGCCTATGTGCTCTTTTACTCAGGTATATCGACACTACTTAAGAGCTGGATTGGATCACAGTAAAATTACATTTACCCTGTTGCTTTCCATGGAAGCTGATATAGTTGTACTAAAGCATCTTTAGAGTTAAGTCCAATGTTTCTTCTGTTTAGTTTCCCATTGATCCTGGCTCCATCTTTGGACTTTCTGATCCCTGCCCTGGCCCTGCTTTCTGCTCAGTCAGGTGAGAATGGCAGAATTAAAGTGAAGGCAAAGACAATCTAATAATCTACCCAATTAAGCATACTAACAAACCCAAATGAAACCCATCTAAAGAAAAAAAAAAGTAATTGGTGCTGATCGTATTGTGTGTTAGGGACTGCTGTGGCCTGCAGGGGGCAGTGCACTGAACCAGAGGAGCCTGTGGCCCCAGCACACCCATTAAGAGAGATAGAGCACAGTGCTGTCCGTGGTGCTGAACATTCAGACCACCCTCCCATTGTCACATTGTTCTACAGTAGCACATAGTAACGTCAAATCCCACTTACCAAAAAGGCGTAGCCAAAGTTTGTTTGTTTGTTTGTCAGGGTTATTATAGATACCTAAATTTAAAAAATTTCTGTTACTTGAAATAAAATAAATGTTAACTGGAATAAAATATTTATTTATTCATTCATTTGTCAGGGTTATTATAGATGACATACAATTTAAAACATTTCTGTTACTTGACAAAATAAATGTTAACTGGAATAAAATATTTATTTATTTATGTATTTATTGATAGCTAAAACCATTTAAACATTTCTGTTACTTGAATTAAAATAAATTTGAACTGAAGTACAATATTTCTTAATTAATTAGTTTATTTATTTATTTATGACTGTGGTTGCAGGTATGGCGCAGCTCGCTGTGGGTTTGACTGGTCTGAGTGGCTTTGCACTGGGATGTTGTGGACCATTAGTTCTGGCTCATCTCCTCTGCATTCTGGGGTTTTCCATCTACAGGGAGGCAGCACTGCTTTGTTCTGACCACTGGGGCATGGCTGCACTGTAAGGACACGCTTTTCTGAAGTCTTTCATATTGTGTATACTGTCTAGGAAAAAACAGCAGTTTATAACATTAGCAATTTGTAATATTTTTTTATTTTAGTTGAACAATATTAATTGAACAATATAGAAATACCTCATAAGATCAGATTGGAAGGAATAAGTGTTTTCTTTTGCACTGTTGCAGTAAGTGTGCAACTACACAGATACACAGACAGCACTAAATACAAATTTCCTTTTTCTTTTTCTTTTTTTTGAGGGCAATTGTTCTTCTTGTGATCCTGTCTCAGCATCTGCCCTCCTTTCTGCGGCTGTCTGTGTTCTCCGTCTGCAGGAGACTCTCTGAGTCACATCAAGGGATTTTGTTCAAATTCAGGATGACTTAAAGGCACAATATGTAAGATTTTTTA